CATACCATACCATACCATACCATACCATACATACCATACCATACATACCACACCACACCATACCATACATACCATACCATAGATACCATAACTTACCATACCATACCATACATACCATACCATACCATACCATACATACCATACATACCACACCACACCATACCATACCATAGATACCATAACTTACCATACCATACCATACATACCATACCATACCATACCATACCATACCATACATACCATACATACCACACCATACCAGCTTTTATGTAAAGCACTTTACATAACCACAGGACCAAAGTTTTTTTACACTTACAAATGAACACAACATAACAGCCCTCACAACATCAAAAACTTGAAAAGCAAAGTAAAGGCTGCCCTATCTTAAAAAACACATAAAATAAACTAAAAAGTCTACAACTCTCCTAGTACCAAAAGCCAAGGAGAAAATACTGGTTTTAAGAGGTGATTTGAACACTTACAGGGCAGAGGCCATCTAAAGTCTAAAAGCTTACGTTTGGTTTTTGGGACACTCAGGAACAGCTGGTTTGCTGACATAAGAAAATGAGATGGTGTAAAGGGGTGCAGCAGCTCAATGAGGTAGGGCAGAAAATAAACTTAAAACAAATCCTAAAATGTGCAGGCAGCTAGTGCAATGAAGCTAAACTAGAAGAAATGTGCTCATGTTTTCTTGTGCCAATTCAAAGACATGCAGCAGCCTTTTGAACCCTCTGGAGGTGAGCAACAGAACGAGTACTGACCCCTACATAAAGTGCATTGCAGCAATCCAGCCGAGTGATGAAGGCCTGGATTACTGTCTCAAAGTGCTTTCTAAAAACAAGTGGCTTCATTTTAGCCAGATGTCAACTTAAAAAAGCTTGGTTTAAGCACCACTTTGATTTGATTATCAAGCTTAAGCTCAACACCCACTTTGACCCCCAGGTTTGTGATGGTTGGCTTGGAATACTGGGCCAAGAAATCTAGAGCCACAAGGAAGGGGGTGGGGGGGTCCTCAGTGGGGCTGTCAAGAATCATAAAATTTGTCTTTTTCTAATTTAAATTGAAAAAAACTTCAGAATCATCAAGGCCTTCGAGTCCCCAGGAAATTTCAAGTGGTTTTAAAGAAAATATTATTTTTTTTCTGTAGGGGGACATAAACCTGACAGTTGTTTGCATAACAATGAAAATATAGTCCATGTTTTCAGAAAATGGACTAAATAACAACAGAAAAGGAGGGTCCTGAAACTAAGCCCTGTGGGACTCCACATGAGAGATAACTCCATTTCTGTGCCCCTGATGTCCACCTAATGCTCCAAACAAGAAAGTAAAATCTCTTGGTCCACAGTGTCAAAAGCAGCAGGTAAATCTAAAAGCACAAAAAGAGTCAGTAAATAAAAATAAGTTGTTAAAATGTTTAAAAAAGGACTGATTCTGTGCTGTGAAAAACTTAAAAACAGATAGTAAAACCTCTCAAATATTTTGCTCTTTTAGGAAAGCCATTAATTGGTTGTAAACTATCCTCTCAAGGTTTTAAGAAAGAAATGGAAGTTTTGAAATAGGCCTGTAATTTGAGAGAACTGCCGGCTCTAGAGCAGAGGTTGGACAACTGATGTTAACAAGAGGAAGAACAGACGGGCCTTGGAAAAACTTCTTTAAATAATCGAGGAGGGACATCCTTATTTGGAGAACCTGCAGGTTTCAAATGTTCAACAATCTCCTGGAAAGAGGAACCAGGTTTCTTCCAGGTATGAACCAGGTATTTACAAAGTACGTACTGGCTTCTAATTGTACTGGGTATCTACAGGGTTCGTAGTGGGTACTCACAGAGTACATAAGATGCAATGTTACAGGTACTTATCATGTAAGGTAAATATGGTACATACCAAGTACCAGCTGGGTATGTACTGAGTTTTTATAGGGTAAAGACTGGATATTTTCATGGTTTGTATTGGGTATTTAAAGGGAATATACCAAGAATGTATCTAGAAAGTACTGGGTATGCAGCAGGTAAATACAGAGAACATACTGGGAACATATCAGGTACCTAAGGGTAAGTACTGGGCTGTATTATGTATTTCTACCAATGAGTTATGGAGGATAATTCTTCCATAATGAGTCTAATTTGGAGTCAAAGACAAAGCAAACAATGATTTTGACCTAACAATTCTTTTCACATTTCTGGTTCACGTTGCATTAGAGGCAGCAAAGTCTGGCCACACTTCAGTGCAAGCTTACAGTCTTTAACGCCACGTCTGCTGTTTTTGATAATATACAGCATCAGTTTTCATTTGACCCTATGTGTTTGCAGGCTCCCTTACAGTCAGTTTTATCTCCTCTTGCATTTTGCACATGGTTATTGGTGAGAAAAACATGCAATATTCCCCCAAAGAGATGTGAGAGCCCCACCTACTAAAGCTCAATAGAGGATGTGTTAAACACCTCACATCTACTCAGTCGTGTACATGCAGAAAAGAGTGGGACAGTTCCCCATAATATCTGTTTCCAACTCCCTCAGTTCCTTTTTTTTTCACATTTTTAAGCATATTTCAGTTAACTTTCCATGTTGCATGATGTCTCACTGCCTCAGAATTCAATCTTGCAGGCAGGAAAGGTCTCATCCTGCATAGCGACCGTGCTGTTAGATCCCAGGACAGTGATGTTCAGCTCCCGCTGCCTGTCCAGGGTGTGCTGGTACCACTCCTGCATCGACACTGACTCAAAGGTGGGGATCACTGTCACCTGAACACAGAAAAAAAAGCTATGAGTCATTCACTTAAACTCTTGAGTGCACATAAAATTACAGTTTGCAGCTAAAATGAGCTGCAGTGTTTCATGCAAAATGTTTCAAGGACAATGATTTGCTTGCCACTTTTTGAATTCTTTGTTAATTTTCCCTTTCATATTAAACGGCTTTATTTATTTTACTTTGGATTTCCCTTTAAGGTTCAATCACTTGGTAGAGCTGTTGCCTCTCAGTGAGAAGGTTGCTGGATTAAATCCTGGCTGGGGGCCATTCTGGGTAGAGTTTGCATGTTCTCTTCGTGCATGCGTGGGTTTTCTCCGGGTACTCCGGTTTCCTCCCTCCCACAGACCAAAATCATGCATGTTAGTCTGACTGGTAACTTTAAATTGTTCCTAGGTGTGAGTGAGATGGAGTAAGTGCCAGTGTCAGTGTGCATGTGTTTGATGTCTCTAAACAAAATATAAACCACTGGACAGATTTTAATGAAACTCTCAGCAAATAATCACTCAGTGTGCATCTACAGCTCATTAACCTTTGGAGTCAACTCGATTCAAGATGGCCACCACAGCTAACTGACTACAGAGCACAGAAGGGACTATAACTCAGACAGTTTTATAAATATTGAGTGTGGTCATTTCTGAGTCTCATGTGCAAAACATACACTGAGTGCTAACAAATGACGCAAAGTATTTAGTGTCAACTTTGGCATTAAATTTTTGAGTCAACCATGTGTGTTTGTTAGCAAATTATCTCATGAACCACCAGATTGATTTTAATGAAATTTTCAGAAAGTAATCATTTGGTGTACATCTATAACCGTTTACCTCTTGTAGTCAGCCTGGTTTCAGATGGATACCTCAGCTTATCAACTTTAGCAAACCCAAAAATGGTTGCGCTCTTCAGGTCGAGGATGAGGTTTTGCCTCAAGTGGAGGAGTTCCAGTATCTCGGGATTTTGTTCAGGGTGAGGGAAGAATGGCTAGTGAGATTGACAGACAGATTGGTGCAGCATCTGCAGTATTGCGGACTCTGTACCGGTCCGTTGTGGTGAAGAGGGAGCTGAGCTGCAAGGCAAAGTTCTCTTGTTTACCGGTCAGTCTCCTCACCTACAGTCACGAGCTCTGGGTAGTGACTGAAAGAATGAGATCTTGGATACAGACGGTTGAAAAGAGTTTCCTCTGCAGGGTAGCTGGACTCTCCCTTAGAGAGAGGATGAGAAGTTCAGTTATCAGGAGAGACTGTGGATGAGTGGTTAGAGCAGTCGTCCTCCAATGCAAGAGTTGGGGGTTCGAATCCACCAGCAGTCATATGCAGAAGTGTCCCTGGGCAAGACACTGAACCCCTCATTGCCTCTGATGTGTGTCTCATCAGTGA